TTGTGATAACAATTTTAAGATGAATATATCTTTGTGAGAGTCTAATGTGTTTAGTAAAACATCTACCTGGAAACGTCCACTGGGCATTTTCGGCAGCTCTCTTTCCCTCATGCAACTTGAGTGTTCTTCCTTTGATTCTTAAAGTACATTATATGTTCTTTCTTGAAATTGTCTTTGAAAAAGCAAGATGTGCACCCTATAAAGTGAAGGTATTCCGGTAGCAAATGCCTTGTCCCCACATTAAAATCATTAAAGCCAGCCTCTTAAGACAGCTGTCTTTTTGCTTCCAGAAAGTACATACATAGTAAGCCTATTGAAACCTTTTTTTTTTTTCTCTTTGGTTGGTAGTGGGGTTTGAACTCTGGGCCTGGACACTGTCACTGAGCTCTTCAGCTTAAAGTGAGCTCTCTGCCTCTTAAGCTACAGCACTACTTCCAGTTTTCTGGTGGTTCATTGGGGATAAGAGTCTCACCGACTTTCCTGCCCGTGCTGGCTTTGAACTAAGATCCTCAGATCTCAGTCGCCTGAGTAGCTAGGATTATCTGCATGAGCCACCGGTGCATGGTTTGAAACTTTTTAAAAATAAATCAGCTTCCTCGTGTAATATGATTCAAATAGTAGAGAACACATTGAACAGTTCTTGGGATGGTGTTCGTGTTAATCTACAAGGAATTTACATGTTTTTCTGATGATCAGTGAACCTTAAAGATCGTTTATATTCAGAGCATATTAAAGGTGGGCCATTTTTGCTTTCTGATGGTACTGGGTTTTAAACCCAGAGCTTCTTGCTGGCAGATATAGTACCATTTAAGCCACATCCCTGAATTGGATGCCTTAGTTAATTTTCAGTAAAGGGTCTCCTGTTTTTGACTGGTCTAGCCTCAGTCACTGACCATCCTATCTATGTCTTGTGTGTTTCAGGGATTACAGATGTGAACTACCATGCCTAGCTTGTTGACTAAAATGGGAATGGGAAAGTGTTGTCTAACATTTTTTGCCCAGGGTAGTTTAAACTGTTATCTTTCCCATCTCTGCACCAAATCCACCAAGAACCCAATCTTCTCCCTCTGCTCTTTAGTTCTATTGGATGATTGCAGGTCCCTCAAACAGCTAATGTTGCAAGGGTAATACAGTCCATCCTAGAGATGGGTTTGATCCCCTGAAAACCTGTGGTGTGTAGGATTATAGTACAATCATCACAGCATTTTCTGCAGTTGTTTGTATTATACACCATGAAAATGAAGTCAGGGAGGACACCTATTTGACAATGGGGGGGGGGCTATTTCTGTGCATGTTTAAGTCCTTTTCCAAATTTTCCATTTTGTCATGCCTTTTATGATTTATGGATGGTAAGTATTGGTCTAAATGGTAAATTAATTACCTTTTTTGGTATTGGCTCTAGGGTTTGAACTCAGAGCCTGGGACACTGTTGTTGAGCTATTTTGCACAAGGCTAGTGCTCTACTATTTAAGCCACAGCTCCACTTCTGGTATTTTGGCCTTTGGCCATGTGACTCAGCTATGTGAAGTGGCTTCTGTTTCCATATCTGTTATGAAGTTCAGTCATGATTATATAGAAGAATGCTTATTATTAAATACTTGTAATACAAGAATTCAAATCAGTTATCTTCATATCTACTTGAAGATATTAAGAAGAAAAATAAAACCTCCAAACAAGCATGAAGGAAATGACAGAACAGAAAGAGAAAAAAACAACAGTAGAGAAAAGTTAATGCTAAAACTGCTCTTTGAAAAGTCAATAAAATGTTGGGCTAGGTGGCATATATCTGCAATCCCAGCACTCTGGAGGCTAAGTAAGGCTGGAGAATCAAGAGTTTGAGGCCAGGGCTAGGAAAGTGGCTCAGTGGTAGAGTGCTTGCCTTGCATGCATGAGGCCCTGGGTTCGATTCCTTAGCACCACATAAGCAAAAAGAAAAAAAAGCCGGGAGTGGTGCTGTGGCTCAAGTGGTAGAGTGCTAGGCTTGAGCTGAAGAGCTGAGGGACAGCGCCCAGGTCCAGAGTTCAGGCCCCACAAACGGACCAAAGAAAAAAGAAAAAAAAAAGTTTGAAGCCATAGTAAGATCCTCTAAAAATAGATGAAAGTGAAAACAGGGAGTGATAAAAGGAAAGGAGGGAGGAAATTAAAATGGGTAAATGTCTAATAAAGTACAGATAGTACCCATTAACAGAAAGGAAAGTGGAGGCATTACTCTTCCTTGAGGAGATGCAGCTAGAGATCCAGCAGGACATGGGAGGACAGACCCTTGCCCATAGGAGACACCAAGGCCTGTGGGGCCAGCTGTTAAGACACCCCAGAGACAGGGCCCAACCAAGAAATGAGGCCTTGGTGAGGTAAGAGAAAGTGGTTCCTGGAGATTAATCTTGCTTTTTTTTTTTTTTTCCCCAGTCATGAGGCTTGAACTCAGGGCCTAGTCACTGTCCTTGAGCTTCATTTGCTCAAGGCTAGTCCTCTACCACTTGAGCCACAGGCACCACTTCCAGCCGTTTATGTGGTACTAAGGAATGGAACCCAGGGCTTCATGCATGCTAGGCACATGGCATGCTGCCACAAAGCCACATTCCCAGCCCGTAATTGATTTTTATCATACTGTTTAAAGAATGCTTTCAACAAGCACTTTTCTTTTCTGTGCTGTGTTTGGAACCCCACATCTGGCACTTGCAGACAAGCACTCAACAATGAGCTTGCTTCAGCACTTTCCCTGTATGGAAGCCTGTTAGACATCTCATGTCTTTATGAAAGCAAAATACAAGTAACAGCAGGATCTAGGATTGAGTTTGGCCATGACATTACAACACTTTTGCTTACCTGCTTCAAACCAACAACAAAAACAGATCATGTAAATGAGAAAAAGAGAAGGCAGCCTCCTCTCTCCTTACTTTTTCAAGTCCACTACTCCAATTCCCCACTGCTGGTCAGCTCAAGGGCAGGTCAGAGGCTGGCAGGGGAAGGCTGATGTGCAGGAGGAAAAAGAGGCAAAACTGGCCAGGGTAGAGAGACAAGGTCTGGAGTCTGGGGCAAGGACAAAGCTGAAGCAGAGTGTTTTAGGATTCTAGCAGAAGAGAAATGGGAGTGGGGTGAGATGTGAAATGGATATCGAGCAAAGCTAAGGAGTACTTGTGAGACTTGTTAAATTCAGATATTTCAAGTACCAGGAATTTAGGAAGATTCAGAATTTCATCTGTTCCTGACACATATGATGCACTCTCATTCTGTTCTTGCTTATTTGGAACTTTTGGAGTGAGTTTAAGGACCTGTTATTTAGAAGCTTCTAGGGACAATGTGACTGTGCTGTCTCAGGGGCTTCTCTGACATCACCAGGCCTAGGTGAGAAAAAATGGTGATCTCACTCTTAGGGTGGGGTTGGGGCACTGGAAACTTAAAAGTAGAACAGCTTCTCCCTCAAATCATAACCTTCCCACCTTACTCCACTTTTTCCATGGTGTCTTACTGTGGGATAGTGTTGTGTTCTCAAGATAAGTCTCAAGACAGTTCTGGATGTTGATTTGGAATCTCATTTTGGTATCTCATGTTACTAGCTTCTCTGCTGAATGGCTAAGTCAGCTTGTTATGTACAAATCTGTAGGACTTGTCTGACCACTCTCTAGATGGAGCTTTAAAACTACATTTACAGTCAAGTCTTGCTTAATGATAGGGCAACGGGGCATGTTCTCATTTTATGTGAACATCAACTAAGACTACCCTAAACACAAAGCAGTATATTCTGGAACCAGTCCCAGAATTGACTGAAACACTGGTAGGGGGCACAAGATTATACTTAATTTGCCTATTCAATATCTCCTAATTAGGAAATCCTTAAAGTACCAGGAAGACACCCAAGCCTCCTGGGTTCCCCAGGGTGCCATGTAATAAACCACTCTGCCTTTCTTACAAATCTCTTTTCCTCATTTAGAAGTATTGTTACAGTCCATGACACATAGCCACAGCTGATATTTAAGATCAAATTCATTTCTCATTTGAAAAGTCTCGGGGTATGTAATCTAGAGTAATTTTGGCAGCTCCATCATCACAAAGGTACCAGACCTAGCTTAACATGAATCTGTAGAATGCAGCTAAGCTGTTCTTATAGCCCAAGATGGAGCCAGGGTGGTGGTCTAGCCATTGTACCTGCTTCCAAGCAGCAGGGTAGAAGCAAAATTCCAACTAGTTTTGTCCTTAATCTTCTACTTTATTGACATGATTAATCATGTCAAATCTAGCTTTAGCTGGATGCCAGTAGCTCCTGCCTGTAGTCCTAGCTACTCTAGGGACTGAGATTCCAAGGACTGAGGTTCAAAGCTGTCCTGGGTAGCAAAGTCCAGGAGATTCCATCTTTAATTAACCAGCAAAAAAGCCAAGCTGGAGGCATAGCTCAAATTGGTAGAGTACCAGCCACGCAAGCAAGCTGATCAAGTACCGAGTTTAAACCATGGTGCCAGCAAAAATACAAAAAGCTGTATATTGGACTAGAAAACCAAGTCTTTAAGGTAGGGGTTCTGTCTCTCAAAATAGTAGATTTAGAAGGGGAGGGACATCAGGACATTGCCAGCTTTTCAGTTCTCTATTTCAATATTCTTATAATCTACCCCCAAACTAGCTTATTACAAGAAACAAACAAACAACAAACCTTAACTGCGGAAGAAGGTGAGATGTTATCTACTGGTGGAATCCAGTGTTTTCCATTCTGTCTTTGACAATTAGAGTTAGCTTTTAGGGTCAGAAGAGGAACTCTGAACTCAAATGTCCATCCCAACTTTGATGTTTCTTAAAAGCAGCGCTATGATTTTCTTTTTAGAAGTTTCATAGATATAGAAGTTTCATAGATACAGAGCTTTATGTCACCTGTATACACACAGGTACAGGAGGTAAAGAGCTCAGCTTAAGACCTAAGTTCTGCAGGTGCTGTCTAGAGTACATTCTGCCTTTAATCTTCCTTCTCCCTTCTCCAAACCTAGCTGAACATACCAAGCAAACGAACAGAACAACATTTGTATACTTTTTATTTGTCAGAATTTCCAAATCAATGTCTCTACTGGATAAGTAGAAAAATAGAAAAAGTTTACTACTTTTAAAAGGCAACTATGACAAATGAGTATATACTCAGGAAAAGGGGTGCTAGGATCCACACACACATACCACACACACGAAATTCAACTTCAGCACAGTGTGGACTGCAGTGTTGCTGCAGAGACAGAACTGAACTTGTGTTTATCACATCCTGAGATTTGAGACAAATTTCTCTACAGAGCTGTCACTGAAGCCAAGAGGCCTTCTGCCCCTACTAGCTGGCCCAGTCCTGGAACCGGAAGCAGTCACTGGCTATCTTCCACACTGTGTTGCTGGGTGAGGCCTGGGCAGTAAGGATGAAGTTCTGGTTGAAGTCCCGTTGTTTGTTGCCCTCAAACTTCACTGTTCCACAGATCACCACAAGGACTGTGGTTTGGCTTGGTGTGGCTTCATCATGAACAGGCTGGCAGTCTACGACATTAATTTGGAACTCACTCGAAGGCAACATTTCAAAAAATTCACTCAAGGATTCTTGTCCTGAAACAGCATTCCCATTCCACACCAAGGTGGCTGTGCCCATGTACAGGCGGGACAGGAGCCGTCGCCGCTTGTCCATGGTGGTGTAGTAGACATTGACAAACTCTTCAGCAGCTCTGCAGGCCTGGTCCACATAGGTCTTGAAGTCCACAGATGCCATCTCAAGTTGTGGGAGGTGGCCCCTGCCAGTGGTCTCCTGTGACCTGGGGAACTCAGAGGCTGTGAAGTAGGAAGGGTGAAGAGATCATGTGTGAGTGCTCAAGTACATTCTGCCCTAACCATCTTCCATTTCTGTTGGTGACAAACCACAGACAGATGGCTTTAAATTCAAATTGACCTCACTAAGCCTCAGTTTGCTCATTGTATAATGGTACTACCTTACTATAGCAGCTGTGATAGAATAAAATGGGACAGTATACATCAAGTGCTAAAAAGCATGAGACCTACGGGCTTACAAAACTATGGCATTTTTTTTTTATTAAACATATGGTTAACAAGAGATAAGAATCTCCCAGACTTTTCTGCCCAGGCTGGCTTTGAAACCATCCCACCTGGCTACTATGACTTTTTAAAGTCCCAGGATATTTGACCCAAGTTCCTGGAAACTTGGAATAGGTGCAACTGCCTTCAGACAGTTGTTTTAGTCCTGGGTAAGAGTAGAGGACCAAACTGGAAAAAACAAGTGGATTGTGGCCCAACAAGGTCAAACAGAGAAACAGCATAGACCTGTCTGTCTCTAGATGAGTCTGGGGAAAGATTATCATGGGCACACCCACAAGGATTGGGTGGGTAGGTGTGCAAAGATGTCTCAGCTTCCTGAAAGCCACCACGCCCAGCTAGGGAAGGCAGGCGAACAAACACCATGAGGGGAGTAATTAAATGATGGTTACAATCCACATAAGGTAAAGAAGCAAACCTAAGAATGTGTGGAATCAGAAGGGAGAATGCCTAGCTTCTGTGGCACTAAAAGGCACCCCAGGTTAAGTGCAGTGTAGCCACAAAGAAGCACAAAAGAAACACAACCTAGAATTCAAAGATCTCTTGGAAGTTGGAGGGAGACACATGAATTTTATGTGTCTGAAATGTCACATTTTCTTAAAAAAAAAAAAAGTTTGGAAGCATAAATACTTACATCTGTTTCTTCCTTAAAAGTACAACTAATTATTTTTTCCCCTACAATTAAAATAATCTACTTAAAAAACAACCCTGTTGAGCCAGGTACCTGTGGCTCATGCTTGTAATCATAGCTACTTAGAAGAGACAGATTTGAAGCCAGCCATGGCATTAAAATCTATCTTCTGACTCCATTAAACACCAAAAAAAACAGAGCTGTGGCCCAAGTGGTACATAGCCTTAAGCAAAAAAGCCAAGGGACAGAAGCCAGTCCCAAGTTCAAGCCTCAATACTGGCACAAAATATGAACAGCTCCTTTAGTCCCAACCCAGTTGAGGGTGGGTATTACAAAAGAGCAGATGTATAGATTTAGATTTTTTTTTTGGGGTCTGGTCGTGGGGTTTGAACTCTGGGCCTGGGCACTGTCCCTCAGCTCTTCAGCTCAAGGCTAGCGCTCTACCACTTGAGCCACAGCACCACTTCTGGCTTTTTCTACTTATGTGGTGCTGAGGAATCAAACCCAGGGCCTCATGCATGCAAGGCAAGCATTCTACCACGGAACCACATTCCCAGCCCTGATTTAGAAATTTAAAACAGTGATTAACTTTTCTTTTGTTGGTTGAGGCTTTAACTCAGGGTGTGTAGGTGCTGTCCCAGAGCTATTTTACTCAAGGCTAATGCTCTACCACTGTGACCCACAGAGATACTTCCTGTTTTTTAAAGGTTAATTGGAGATAAGAATCTCAGGGACTTTCTGGGCTGGCTTCCAACTGTGATCCTCAGATCTCAGTCTCCTAGGTAGCTAAGATTACAGGCCTGAGCCACTGGTGCCCAGCCAACTTTTTTTTCTTAATATGAGTTTATGAAAGAATTTTCTACAAGGGTTAGGTCATGTACTCTTAGGGCAAAGAGCTGGAAGGGAGCTGGCCTAGAAACTGTCTAAGGTAGGGCAAAGTCAGCTGTTAGGTGCTTCTAACATACCCAAACATAAATCACACATTTCAGTGAGTAGAGTGCTTTTAAAAATGTCAATACCCAGCTACATAATAAATGCAGGAAAAAAACAAAAAACAAAAAAACAACCCTCAAATACTTACTGAAGAAATAACTAAGGTTGCTCCTCCAACTTACTGGGTTAAACTGTGGTTTACTGTAATATTTGTTCTACTGGTTGAATAAACAATCTAATAGTTCCAATAATTAGTGCAGAAATAAGTAGAACTGTTGTTTTGGACTAAAGATAATGTTTTATATTAGAACCCTGAAAACATGGTGCCAGTTATATCGATAATCTGAGGAGTAGGAATGAATGAGTAAGACCTGATAAACTTTAAGCCAACAAAAATAATGTTTTTTTTTTATTATTATAGCTATGTTTATCAATTAAGTTCCAGTCCTTTTTTTCTTTCTTTCTCCAAGGACCTCAGTGAGGTCTCAGCAAACTCTTGGGACTGTATTGAAGCGCCGTACTTCCCTCATTTGTCACAAATGGATGAGGAGCGTAGTACTATCACAATTTTAGAAGTAAGAAAAGGCATACTGGCACACTCCCGATGTATCATTTCCAGGCCACAGAGGGGCCTTAGAATTTAAGATCCCACTGCTCTTATATGTTTTTTTTTTGTTTTTTTAAAAATAAGTTTCTGCGCTTTGGAGAACCAATGTGAAAACTCCAGGGTACTTCATTAAACATTTCCTCTCAGGGGCAACCATTAATGTCTCCAGCTATAACCCCTGTAAATCACTCCTCTCCCTAATATGCTCGTCTTTCCCTCTCCACCCGATTTCTGACACCCCCCTCGCCTCCCAGCTCCCATTCATTTCCCTTTCCCTAATACAATCCAACCCAACGATCTGCCACCCGCAGATGAAGAGCCCGGCTTCAGGTTCTCCAGGTACCTACCGCACCTGGCCAGCTGGGAAATCCGAAAAGTGGGGGAGTTGGGGGGGTAACTACATGCCGAAACAATGTAAAAGATCTCTCTGATCCCCGTCGTTAACTTCTTTGAAGCGGGGCCAGAGAAGCTGCAACAGTAGCTCAGGCCATCGTTTCCAGCCTCGAGTCATGAACTAGCCCGACGCGGGTCGGGAGCACGCTCTCCCCGGCCGTCTTCCGGTCCTCCCGGCCGGGCAAACGCACCGCCAGCGTTTCGAACAGGGGGAGAGAAAGAAAAAAACCCCTCACCTACAACTGCTGAGACAGAGGGGGGGGGGAGGGGGGACGGACGGACGGACAGAACCCAGTCTTAACTGACAATGGAGGGGCGGCGAACGGATTTCCGTGGGAGGGGGCTGCGGGGGTCGCTCTGCCGGTCTCCGCGGGAGGGGGCGCCCCGCCCCCCGATACCCCAAGCTCAGGCGGTAACCTACCTGCGCCGTAACGCCCCCGGGGATCGGCGCCAGCCGCGGCCACTCGCGTCCGGGCGCCCCCCGCGCGGGCCGCGGCTCTTCAGGGGGACCAGCCCCCGAAGGTCACCGAGTGGGCCTACCGAAGCTTCAGCACCTTTCACCGCTCGCCTTGGGCCGGGGCTCGGGAAGAGCGTTTTTTTCTCCCCTCCTCTTCCTCCCAGGAGGCTCCGCCCGAGGAGCCCAGATCCCAGCGGCGGGGAACGAACGTTACCGCGGTGCGGTCCGCAGGTTCCCGCGCGCGGCCTGCCACGCACCGGTGCCGACTCGAGCGTCCCGGCCGCTCCCGCCTCCCGGTAATGGGCAGCTAGATCCGCCAGTGGGACGGAGGGACAAAAGCTAGCTCCGCCCAAGTGTGGCTGGAAGGAAGAAGTGGCTTCCGGGGCAGGCCCTTTCTCAGACGACGCCAGCAAATCGAGTTTTCATTGGTCGAAGCGGTTCAAACCTATTTCTGATTGGGTGAAATATTCCAGAGTCCGCCCCCGGAACTGAGAGTAGGGTCGGCTTTCAGCAGAGGTGGGGAGGGGGTAGGGAGCTTGCTGAATAAGCTGGAGAAGGTGTGCTGGGGTGTGGCAGGGTGTTTTCTGCCTTCTCCAATCACCTGTGTGGGATTGATTCCAGCGATGATTCGTGAAACTTCTTGGCTTGACGCCTTCACTGCCGACCGCACCGTACAACTAAGGCTCTCAAGCAGACGTGGGGCCACAGCAATGTTGAATCCGCCTGCAGCTCAAAGCCCGCGGGGACCTTTTGGAAATCTACCTGGTTTAGCACCAGAGCTGATCACACCCCTTTTTAGTTTCAGTGGTTTAGAGTTGACATCCTAATCGGCTGGCGGGGGGGGGGGGGGGGGGGGGGGGGGTCAGGAAGCAGGGGCTGGAAGATAAAGTGATATTAAAGAGATAATTAGGAGCAGGACTCCAGGGAAGCCCGAAGGCGGGGGGGGGAGCGGGGGGAGGGAAACTGGAACTGGGGTAAAGTTTTACTCTATGTTAAATTAGATAGAACCATTTAGTGTGGAGATTCAGGAAACTGAAATGTAAATTAAAGGAAGAACAACATAGCTTCTTTTCTTCAACACAAAGTTCATCTGCTGGTTTGAGCTGGAAGAGCACTGTGGGAATGGCTGATTAAGTAAAATAGCTTAACTTCCCTTCCTTCATCCTCTCTCCCTCCCTTCCTTCTTTACCTTGCAGAGAATCGAACCCAGTGTTAGCCAAGTGGTCTACTATTAAGCTACATCCTAGTTTCCAAACCTCTACTTTATTGACATTGAGAACCCTTGTTCTGAGACTACAGGACAATTTAAGAAACCACTCAGGTTGTTAAATATGGGCAAATTCCCACTCCAATCAAGTAGGTGGGTGCCAGTGGCTCTGCCTGAAACCTTAGTTGCTCAGTAGGCTAATATATGAGAATCTCAGAAAGCCAACCCAAGAAAGAAAGCCATTGAGATTATTCTATCCAACTAATCAACAAAACAAAACAAAAACAAAACACCAACCTGTAAGTAGAGTTGTTGCTCAAAGTGGTAGAGCAGGGCTAGCCTTGAGCAAAAGAAGCTAGGGACAGTGCCCAGGCCCTGAGTACACACACACACACACACACACACACACACACGCCAGGGAGGAGAAAGTAATTGAGAGAGTATTTTTAGGCAGAATATATACATCTGAAATACCATATTGAAACCCCTTGATTTAATTTATATACACTGAGGAAAAAAAAATGAGTGAAAAGAAGGTAAAACAGCTGTGCTCTGGTGGCTCACACCTATAATCCTAGCTACTCAGGCGGCTGAGATCTGAGGATCGTGGTTCAAAGCCAGCCTGGGCTGGAAAGTCCATGAGACTCTTATCTCCAATTAACCACCAGAAAACTAGGAATGGAACTGTGGCTCAAGTGGTAGAGAGCTCACTTTGAGCTGAAGGACTGAGGAACAGCACTCAGGCCCAGAGTTCAAGCCCCACCACCGACAAATAGAAAGGTAAAAAGAATCTGATGGAAGTGGGTAGGGATAAATACTAACAGTAGGCAGAAGGATGGATAACATGGAAATAGTTAATTTACATGTATGAAAATGGAACTCTTTTTTTTTTTGTCGGTCATGGGGCTTGAACTCTGGGCCTGGGCGCTGTCCCTCAGCTCTTCAGCTCAAGGCGAGTGCTCTACCACTTGAGCTACAGTGCCACTTTCGGTTTTCTGGTGGTTTATTGGAGATAGGAGTCTCACGGTCTCTCCTGCCCAGGCTGGCTTTGAACCGCGATCCTCAGATCTCAGCCTCCTGAGTAGCTAGGATTACAGGCATGAGCCACCAGCGCTCGGCTTCTTAAAACTTTTAATAAGGGAGTGGGGTAATGGAGAGTGATAGAAGTGGTGAAGATATATTGTATACATTTGTAGAAATGTCACAAGGAAGTCTCCCTTGTACAATTAATGTATTTAAAAAAATTAACTGAAGGCTAAGTTGAGAGGGAGAATGAGTGTCTTTGGATCAGTGGTCACACCAAAATAGGTAACCCCCAGGGGAGTGATATTAAGATTTCCTTCTAAAATCCAAATGAAAGAATCAATGGACAGAAAATTAGAATGATGGTTGACTTACTGCACACTTACTCCAGCATTCAATAGTCTGAATGTTGTCCTGCTTTAAATGTCTTCATGTGTCCCATCCTCTTTCCAGTTCTTTCTCATAACTCTTTGGCGATATATTGTTATCCTGATTTGTATAGAGAAGGAAGCTGACAGACAAATTAGATAACCAGCTTGAAAGTCACAGAGTCAGTTTACATCTAGAAAAGCTGGTTAAGAGATCATTTATCCAGCTCCTGGGACTGTAAGGAAGTAAGACTGTAATCATGACAGGCCACAGAGCACAGCAGAACGGGTAGGAGGGCAGGTGACTTTCAGATTTTTTTCCCCAGTAACTAAAATTGTATCTGGCCACAACAAAGGCTCAATAAATCTTGTCTGAACAAAACAAAATTCTGGGTTCAAACAATTGCTCTGTAAAGTTATAGCAGAAGTGAGCCTTCTTTTGGAAGAAAGTCTGGGATTTATTCTCTAAAGAGAGAGAGATCTTTGAGTTTGAGTAGACTAGAGGTACCACTAGATCTGGGACATACTACTAGGAATGTAGACCCTGAGCATAATTGAAAGTGATAGGAGGCTCAGGCCACAGAATGCAGAGAAGGTGTCTGCTAGAGGATTCTGGGAAAGGAACCTTTCTCTCTTCCCTTCTGGATATGTAGTATGTGGATGGCACCATTACAGTCACTTGTCACCTTTAAAGGGAACATATTGGTGATGAGGCAGACAGGAAAAGTGAGATGCTATCAGGCCCTTGATGACTGTGTGAAGAGCCAAATCAGCACTCAATTTTTGACTTTGCAGTTTCATGAGCCAGTGTGAAAGGCTAGGCACAAAAGTAGTTACTTGTCAGGTAGTGGTGACTTACATCTATAATTCTAGCTACTTGGGAGGCTGAGATCTGAGAAATGGGGTTTGAAGTTAGTCCCAGCAGAAAAATCTAAGATTAACTAGCCAAAAGCCAGAAGTGGAGGTATGGCTCAAGTGGCAGTGTCCCTTCTAGAGAGGGAGCTGGTATAACTATCCATCTTCTTGGGTGATGCGAGCAGTGAAGGAAACAGCATGTGGGAAGGGCTCTGTATGGGACTGAACCCAGAATAGCATCCAGAAAATGTTAATGAGGCTGACTTATGCTAGGACATTTTATAACAACAGTGCTTTCTTCACTTGCCAATGGTCTCTCCAATGACTGGCTTTTAAACTTGGGACAAGCCTGTCAACAAATTGGTGGGATTTATTACCAGCTCACATGAGTACCTTCTGATGATGAGTCTGGCTTACATAACTATGGAGCCCATGACTCCATTGCAGAGTGGAGTCCATCCAGGGAAGAAAGGCGCATCTGGTCACACATTGTCCCGGGTGGCACAGAAGATGGGCCTGACTTAGGGATCTTTTAAGTCTGTAAACACAGGACTCATCCTCTCCTTCATTACTGGTGTTGTTCCCTGGGACAGGATCTTAGCAGCATTTGTTTGCCATGAGCAGCTGCATGAGTTGGAGTCCAGTTGATTCACAGCAATGGCAGTTATGTTCCAAATGTGCTGCTGCCACCACCGTGTCTTTTTATTTCTGCCTTAGCAGAACTGTCTGAATGGCTATGGACCAGGATGAGCTGATGCTGTATTTCTGTGAGCTTTTAGTTGGGGATTTGACTTTGGGGAGACTCCAGGTGTTATGGAAGAAGCACCCTTGATAGTGTCAAATAGTGATTAGTGAAATCAAGCTTTCCTTCAGTTATTCGTCTATGCCTCTGTTATTTGTAAAATGGGAAATGGCAATGCATCAGTGAAGCTCTATGTGGAGCTTGCTCAACCTGTAATGATGCCCTTTGCTGGATGTTCTACAGATCCTCTACTGATTACATATCTAAGTATCAAGTTGCTCTCTTCCCAGTTTAGCCACTGGCCATCTGGAATTGTGGGAAGGCAACACATATCTACAGAGCCTCTGAGTGGGACTGGAAGGGAATCTAGATATTTATGAACATGTTTGTAAGTAACAGAATCTACTTTTTGCTAATTTAAGCTAAAGGTGTTTATAGGGAGATTGTTTGCAGGATCCACAGCAGGCATTGGTAAACCTGGGGTCTAGAAAAAAGAACCAGACAGCAGGTGTTTTGAGGCTATAGTAGACTCTCTGAGCTGTGACCAGTTTCCAGCTTTTAGGATTCTCCACTTGTGCCTGATTCCTGAGAAACAGCCAATTTACCCAACTTGAACCATGTGCTATTCACTTACTGGAAAGTCCACTGAAACTGCACAGAGAAGAAGTGTCCCATGGAAATGTTAGTGGAGGGGCATTAGATTAGGAGCTAGGGTGTGGCCATGAACACAACTGGGAGAATGGAGGAGAAGTAAAGACCGTATGACCAGAGCAGGGAGAGCTGGGATAAAAGACATATGTGCATGCCCATGTGTGCACATTCTCATGCCTCATACACAACCACAAGCTCACACATATATGCCCCCCCATAACCATGCATGCTTGCTGGCTTATAGGCTCACCCACATGCACAGTTACACGCACACCCACTTACTTCCATGCACACACATATGCAAATGGAGTGTGCTGAAGTACAAAAAAGTCTGTCTCCTACTGCATAAGAAATGTTATGAAACTTGGTGGCTTTAACAACAACAATCACTTCACCCCACACCTGCCATTTAAACTGGCCTCAGCAGGATGTACCCACATGGGA